AATATATTCATGTCACTTTTTTTTATTCTAAGAATATTTAAGATCTACTCTTCTAGCAGACTTCAAGTATAGAGTACATTGTTATTAACTGTAGTCACCATACTGTACAGTAAACCTCCTGACCTTGCTCATACTGGATTGAAAATTCGTACCCTTTGACCGTCTCGGTAAATCCCTTCTACCACCCTCTGGCAAACACCTTTCTACTGTGCGTCTTTGAGTTCAGTCTTAGCTTTTACATGAGTAAGGTCATGCAGTATGGTCTTTCTGCGCCTGGCTTATTTCATTTAGTGCAGTGTCTTTCAGGTTTGTTTATATTGTTGCAAATGACTAGATTTCCTTTTTGAGGCCTAATAGTACTTCACTGCATGAGTGTGTGCGCTGCATGTTCTTTATCTGTTCATCTCGCTGGACACTTAGGCTGAGTCCTTGTCTTAGCTAAGGTGAGTAGTATCGCGCCGAACAAGGGCTTGCCTGGCCCGGGGTCTAGCTCAGTGATAGAGTATGTACTCTGCTTAGAGTGTGTGAGGCCCTGGGTTCAGTCCCCAGCACGACAGAAGGTGACATGGGCCACATTGATGTCATTTTCTTTGGATACATACCTTGCTCGTGTGCTTCTGTTTCTGGTGTTTTAAGGAAACTCCATGAACTCCAGTGTTTTTGTAATGTCACTGATTTCCCTTGCGGCAGCAGTGTGTAGGCATTGCCTTAGCTCTGGATCCTCACCAATGTTCGCTGTTGTCTCTGTGATAGTAGATATTTTAGCTGGCAAAGTGATACCTTGTGATTTTAATGTGCATTTTCCTGATTAGTAATGTTGAGCATTTTTTCATATGTACCTGTTGGTTACTTATATACTTTCTTTTGAGAAATATCTATTCACATTTTTTGCCTATTTTTAAATTGTATCATGTTTTCTTATTATTGAATTCTTCAGATACTTTAGATATTAACTCCATATCAAATATATGGCTTGTAAATATTTTCTATGATTCTGTAGATTCTCTTGATATATTTCTCTGGTGTACAACTTTTTAATTTGCTATAACCCTACTCATCTAATTTGCTTGTGTTGCCTCTGTTTTGGAATTCATTTCAAAAAATCATACCCCAAACTGATGTCCTGGAGCTTTGCCCTATGTTTTATTCTGGTGATGTTACATGTTCAGGGTTTAAGTCTTTAACATGTTCATGACAGGGCCTTAATGCATATATCTTACTGCCAGGTGGATGGAACCACCAGTGCTACATGCATGACTGTCTCATCAGGCAGTTTTTAAATTTCATTAGTAAAAGGACCGATAAAAGTGATTGAATCCATTTGTACCACAAGTGTTAACAGCCCCCACAATGGGACAGTCATCCATGGTTCAAGCCGCAGGAACATGTTAATTTATTTTAAGTTGGTTTTTGTATATTATGTGAAATAAGGGTCCATTTCATTTTTTTTTCTTTGACAGGGTCTTGCTATGTAGTTCAGGTTGGCTTTGATCTCACCATGTAGCCCAGGATGGTCTCAAACTCATGGTGATCCTCCTGCCTCAGCCTCCCAGGTGCTGGGATCACAAGCATGCACCACCACGTCTGGCCAGGTCCATTTCATTCTTTAGGACTTTTATACCTGGCTTAGCTAGATAATCTAGGATAATGTGTCCACCACACTGGAGTTCTTTCTGGTTGTAAGGCTTAGGGTGTAGACATTGTACAACCGTTATTCAGCCTACCACATGGATGCCTGGCAAGTGTTGGTTTCTCTTGAACTTCTCTTCACAGTTTGGATACCCTAAGCTTATGAGGTACAAACTTGTAGATTTTATCAAAATCCTGTGGATATTGGTCAGATATCCCAGTTGATAACAACAGTAGCACCTGTAGAGAGCTGCTGCTTATTGAGCAGCTCATGAGCACAGGGTCAGTTACTAGGGTCTTCAGATGTTTGTCTTTAGCTTTTCTTTCTGAACTGCTCTTTCTGCCAGTATTCACTCACATTATACTGTAAACATGAGCTTCAGTTTCACACCTTCAGTAGATACTGTGTGATGTGGGTGATTGTGGCTTCTCCGTTGGTGTCCAGTTACTATAAAGTTAAATAGAAACCAGATAACTCAGTATTTCTACTCCTAGATGTTTACTAAGGACAAATGAAGATATGTGTTCACGCATAGTTTAATGTTCATGCAAGTGTTTAGAGCAGCATTATTGATAATAGCCTTAAAACCTGAACAGTCTGGTTGGGCACATCAGCTGATGACTCCGGGATTCCTATGTAAAGGAGTACTGCCAGCACTGAAAAGGAACAACGTACTAACACTGTCAGCCATAGGGATGAAGCTCAGAAGCGTTATCCTTGGTATAAGTGTCCAGACACCAAAAGGTGCATACTTTCAATGTATACTCTTTAGCAACTACGTTCAGTCATTCACTCCGTGAGATTAGGATGGTTGAATATGTTACTCATATTTAACCTAGGTTTTTAAAAAGCTACATAATGTATAATTCTAGAAAAGACAAAATTATAGTGAAAAAGCACATCTAGTGGCTATTGGGTTAGGTGTGGATTGACTTTAAAGAGCACAGTGGAACATTTTAGGGTGACAGAAATATCCTAAATGTAGTGGTGATTATGTAAATTAGATTGAGATTTGCTGGACTGCACATTTAGAATTGGTAAGTATTATTTGTAAATTCTAGTTCAATAAAGCAGATATGTTGAAAGAAGAAAAACTTGCTAGGAGTTTGAAAGCATTAAAAAGTTCTGTTTTCTAGTAAATTCTTAAAGGATGTTTTGCTGTGCTGTTTTATAAAATTTGTGTGCCAGATCAAAAGTAATGCAATAGAGGGGAATCTTTTTCTCCCTCATTAGGTTGCACGAATATGTTTAGTAACTGCAAACAATATATAGTGCATTTAGGGCCTACAAAATTATGTTAAAATTGCCTTAATGAGAATATTATAATCACATTCCCAGAGGTAAAAGAAAGGAAACTGTGTGTTGTTTCGTACCATTGGTCTTTTTTGGATTGACCTTTGCTTAATTGCTATCTGGAGGGTGATTCAGTTGTGGTATACTTTTGCACTTTTGGTGTGAACTTGGTCTGGCTTAAGATATTTTAAATAATGCAAGGGTAAGGAAAGTACCACAGCTGTATCTTTTGGCATTGATTTTCACTAGTTTAAGGCAAATTTCATGCTCCCCCGCCCGACCCCATAGCATCCTTCTCCTTTGGTCTCTGGGAATAGTACAGTCTGTTGATTTTCTTTCTCCTGCAGAAATGATTTCATGCCCTCTTTGACTGCTATATCTTTGTCCTTCAGTCCCTTCTGAGAACACAACCTGCTGCCTGATTTTCTTTACATTTGCCCCTCAACAATGTCTTTCCCTTTCTTATAATTAATCTATCCTGATACACCACAGATCTCATGTTCTGAATTTTCTGTTTAGCTTTCTGTTGTTTTGGCTCCTTTTCAACTGGTTTCACTGTCCTTTTTAACTTACCACTGCCCAAAATAAACCTGCCTTCCTTTCTTCGTTTCTCTTCTTTTGGCCTTCTCTGTATCTCTTGAGGTACTTCCACTCTTTTCCTCTGAAGGTTAAAGCCTAAAATACTGTCGTTTTCTCTATCTTTCTCTGACTACTCAGTTAGTGTTCAGGTCATTTTTATATTTCTGTGGAATATCTCCCTTCCTTTTCATCTTTTTCCTGGTACCAGAAATTGAACTCGGGCCTTGCACTTGCTAGGCTGGTGCTTGTGCTCCTGAGCTATATCCCCGGCCCTTTTCATCTTTTGATACCACCTTTAATCTAGGTCCAGTTGGGCAGGGTCATGTGGTGCCTCTCAGACATTACTGAGTGAAAGCAATTTGTCAGGATGGCAAAGAAGGTTTCATAACTGGGGATCCACTCTCACCAGGTCCGTGTCCCAGGCCCATGTTAAGTAACTGAATCAGCAGATTCCTAAGTGTTACTTTGCTCGTAGAACTCACCTTTTGGAACACTTGGTAAAAGCTTGGTGTTTACTTGTGTATACATTGCTACCTTTGCGTCACAGTCTGTTTTTTGATTACAGTTTTTCCTTCTCGTGAGTGCGTGAAAGTGCTTCCCCAGCCCTGCACAACTTGGGTTTTATAGTTTGTGACACCATGGGACCACTTCAGACTTGCCGCCTGGGTGCTGCCTCTGCACAGTCCTTCCCTCTTGCACAGTGCTACCTTACTGATCTTTCAGATGAAAAGCAAAAGCCAAGTGCCTGGTGTTGCAGAGCTTCATGTGCCAGATTCTTCCATCATTCATAGAGTATATGCTTGTTTTTAACTCAGTGTATTGTCCTCTTCGATTTTACTTTGGAGTTAATTTCTTTCTTATAAATTCTTCTTACTTATCTTCTCCTTGGAGCAGTTACTTTGTACTTAAAGAAATGTGGGAGAATTTTGTTACCAAGCAAAGAAAGATTGACTGTCTCTCACTTGCCCTCCCTTACTTGTCTTCTCTTTTCTCCCCCTTCCTCCTCTGTCCCCACTTCCCTCTTCCCTGGGTCCTTGAGCCAGGCTACACATGTGCTCTGTTACCGAGCTACACCCCCAGTGCATCTGCTTTCGGAGGCGAGGAGAGTATCTCATGGTTTAACTCCGTATCTGGACACATGTTCTTCATACTTATAAAGTATCATTGTTATGGGTAAAATGTCTGCTTCAGAAGTGGAAAGATGATGAATTATTTCAATGAACAGGGTATTTTCAGTATTTCATTTCATTTACTTTTTATCAGAGAATTTTAAAGAACAGTTAGGTACTAAAATAAAGTGTTTATATTCATTTCCAATAAATTTTAGGGTGTTAAAATAAGGTTCTATTTCTTTGCAATAAAATGAAAGTGTTTTCAGGTTGGTAGAAAAATTGAAAACTATTACCAGATTTGGAATGAAGTAGTTTCAAAATCTTGATTTTTCTGAACCACATATGATACGTTTATTAACTTTTTCCTTTATCTTTGGGTGTTCTAGAGGGGTGTTCGATGCTTCCCTCAAAATGGCTGGCTTCTACGGATTGTATACTTGGCTGACTCATACTATATTTGGCATCAATATTGTCTTCATACCATCAGGTAACAATCGTATCGTAATTTCCACTGACCCCTATTTGGAGTTAGTCATTTTACATTCATTAGAAAATGTCCTTTTCCTCAAATTTAGACTGAATTTTGCGGCTCATCATGTAGTTCAGGAGCAGAAATGTGCCTGTCTGTTGCTGTATCCCTGGTAGCTGGCGCCATACCCAGGACATAGACAGCGGTGCATAAATACTTGTTAAATGAATGAATATCTTAGCACTTGCTGTCCAATACGTGAATTGAACTAAGTAATAGGAGCAATGTGTCGTCAAATAGCTTTGTCCCAGGAGCCCAATGAATGTGTTTGAGAGCACATAAACTGCTTAATGACCATCTTCTTTTTCCTGTTCTTCTCCTTACAATTATTCTCCCTTTGTTCCTGTTGCTTCGTTTTCCTAAATCTGTCTGCCTTCCACATTTGCTTCTGCCATCATTTCTCCCACCTGTGTGTACGCCCCCTTCTTTCTTTACATTCTCAAGTTCTTTTATGTTCTTTCCTCCTCTGGTGCCCATTAGCTGACCTCTGATGTGCAGGCACCCCAAGAGCACGTGGAGGTTATTGTTTTCTAATCACCCTGTAAGACAGGCGGGTAGGTAGTGTTTTTGTTGTATGGATGAAAAACCAGAGTTTTCCAAACATGATTTGTGGTTAGACTAAAGTTAGAGTCCACTTCTGCTTGCCCCTTAGTCTGGAGGGAAGCCAGATGGAGACCGTGTTTGCACATATTGCTCTGGACAGGGGAAGCTTGAGGTCGTATCCATTCACTCACTGGGCTTTGGTCTGTTTCTTTGTGTTTATATTTCATTTTCATTAAAAACAAAGTAAAAAATACACATTCATATGTGGAACTTGGAAGCTAATTTCTGATTTGACTTTGGACTACAAATTTTGAAAAACACGCTAGTTTTATTTTTATATTAAGTAACCATCGATTCAGATTCAGCTGACAGCTATAGAACAGTAAGATTTTATCAGTTAAGAACAGATTCAAGCTGGGTAGGGTGATGCATGCGTGTCATCCCAGCACTTGGGAGGCTGAGGTAGAAGGAGCTCTCAGAGTTCAAGGCCAGTTTGGGCTACATAGTTAGTTCAAAGCAAGCCTGAACTACATAGCAAGGCTGTGTCTCAAAAAGAAAAAATAGAACAGGTTCGTAGATACACATTATGAAGATTTTCAATAACGAATGTCCAATATCTTAAAAATTAATAAGAAAATTCAGTTAGTGCATATATCATTCCCCGCCAAGGAGAGTTTGTTTTGATGGCTGTCTTTAAATAGGCGGAGCCAGTCCTTTCTGCTGTGTTGTGATTGTTTTGCTCATTGTTTTGCTCATGTTATTAAGTTGCTTTTCTGCTTTTAATGTTTGTTAGCTTTAGCAGCAATCCTTGGAGCAGTGCCCTTTCTGGGGACATACTGGGCAGCAATCCCTGCAGTTCTGGACTTGTGGCTGACGCAGGGATTAGGATGCAAGGCCATTCTACTATTGGTTTTTCATCTCTTGCCAACTTACTTTGTAGATACTGCGATCTACTCTGACATATCAGGGTAAGTATTCTTAAGTTACCAGCAAATCACAAAGGGAGTTCTGTTGTTTACTGAAGTAGTTTTCTGGTTGGGGAGGAGAGTGGGGTGGGACAGTTTGAGGGAAAGAACTGGTAGCAGGATTTTTCAGTATAGTAACTTTCTATGTTCCCTCTGATACAATGAAATTTTATTTTCAAATAACATTGTTTGCAAGACATGGTATTTTACAGCCGGGTATGGTGGTGCACGTCCGTAATCCTAGCACTTGGGAGGCTGAAGCAGGAGGATTGCTATTAATTTGAGGACAGCCTGGGCTACGTAGTGAGTTCAAGGCCATCCTGAAGTATGTAGTGAGACCCTGTCTCAAGAAAAAAAAAACATGGTATTTTGTTACAATATAAGTTTTATTTATGAAATATGGTACCTTAGGCTAAAATTGTGAATAAGTTTCTCTTGATTTTGTGGCATTTAATCTGAGAAGGAGATATTACTAGATGAAAATAAAATAAGTACAGTAAATAGTAATCATTTTAGCATGTCTTTCATTTTGGAGAAAAAGTGTATGGCACTGTATGTCTGAAGATTTCCATGTAAAACTAAATCTTGACAAATTAGTATTTGACAAACAGATTCTTGACACCGTGGTTTATTGAAACAGATCAAACAGCATTAAATTCAAGTCAGAACCAAAACTTTGGTCATATAGTACATGTCTTTCTGTGTCTGTAGGTTTTGATAGCTCTTTTAGAAATTGTGTTAAGTGCCAGTTGTGGTGGCTTACACCCATAACCTCAACACTTACAAGGCTGAGGCAAGAGTATAGCCAGTCTGAGGCTAACCCAGCCTGTATAGTGAGCACTGTTTCAATCCTCAGCGCCCCTCCTACAAAAACTGAAGTTGTATCAAGTAAAGTCAGCCGACATTCATATGACTAGATTGACAATGCTTTTTAAAATACAAATTGTGGCAGCACACTGAGAGGATAGCCTACTGAAACTGTCAAAGCAGTTAGTACATTCTTTTTTCTTGAAGTCAGTTAAAGGTGGGCAGGCCTAAGTTCATAGAAATGGTACTCTTAAGGTAATTTAAATTGTGTCGAGGCCTTTGTGTGTGTTTTCTCTCAAGTAAGTTAAAGTAGAAAATAAATAATGAAGAGCGGCTCTGAAGCTTCACGGTACCAGAGCAAAGAGAAACAAGCCGCTGCACAAGCCAGCCTGAGAGGAGCTTGTGTGCCTAAAACTCGGGAGAGAACAGGAAAAGGAGAGTATCAGAGTATGGTTAACTGGTGTTTTAGTAACTGGAGTTTAAACCGTAGGAAAAGGTTTGTAATTTAAGTGTAAGTGCTGCCATTGATTTAAGCTTTGCCGTAAGTTTATGTTAAGGTTTACAGTGGTGGTGCACGCCTGTAATCTCAGTGTGTGTGGGAGGCTGAGGCAAGAGAATCACAAGTTTGAGTCCAGTCTGGGCAAGTTAGTGACTTAGCAAGACCCGATCTCAAAATGAAAAATAAAAAAGGGGTCAGGGATATAGCTCAGTTCAAAGGCCCTGGTTTCAAGCTCCAGTAGAGGCCACAACCACCACCTGCGGCCGGAAAAGAAAAAAAGGGGTAAAATTTAAGATTTATTGTTATATTAACTTAATTATAAACTACTTTAACCAGTGTCGTTAGAAAATGAATAGCTTGGCATAAATAGTTTTTTTTTTTAAAGCTTTTAAGTAAAATTTTTTTTATATAAAGCTTCAACATTTTTCATAGGCATTTTCTTCAAATGTAACATTTAGGGGAAAAGCTTACCTCATATACATGGCCTGTCACCTTAAGTTCATTTTTGAAATGAAGAAGAGATGTAAATTATGAACATTATGTACTTGTTTCTTGAAGACTGACTCACCCATTACATATTAAACTGTAATGTATTGTGGAATATCCTTCCAAGCGTTGTAGTTATTTGTAGCTTACTAATTTGTTCCACTCATCTGTGTTTAAAAACTGAAAACAAATAGACAGGACTTATTTCCTAGTCCCATTTGCGTCAGTGGTCATGTCTTATTGCTGTGCTGTGCTGCCGTAATCTATCTTGCTTCATCCCAGTTATGCGAGTGGTACTGTCATGTGCCTGCTGGGTAATCCCAAACATCCTGTGAAATGGAAATTTTGGATTTTGTTGACCAATACCTTCCCCAGGAGCCTTTTTTTTATTACCTTCATTCAAAACTTCTAGAAGGTTGTGAGACATCTACCCTATAAATAACTGCAATACTGTTATCATCGCTGTCTTATAAAAAAAACAATTAACTTGATTACATGCTAAATTGTGCCTACGCAGTTATCCTTGACAGTTGTAAACCTAACAGGTTGCTTAGGTAACCAGTCCTGAGCCAGCATTAATCCTCCTTGGAAGCCACCTGTAAAAAGCGCACAGTATCTGCGAACAGTGCTGACGTTATTCTTCCAATTGCTAACTCAGGAAAAAGAGACACATCACATGCTGGTGCATAGGCAAGAAAACCTTGTATTCTCTCCGTGTCACAGTGTTGAGTTGTTTGCACTGAGGTAGCCTAAAGAACGCTGACAAGAAAAAGCATGGTGTATTAAAGAATCAACATTGTGCTAGAAAAGTATTTCAGATTTATTCCAAAATGTATCTTTGTTAAAAGTCACGAACTAAATCATGTGCTCTTTATTCCAGGGGTGGCCATCCATACCTGACAGGTTTGGCAGTGGCTGGTGGAGCTTACTACCTAGGTCTGGAAGGAGCAATTATTGGGCCCATACTTCTCTGTATACTTGTGGTTGCCTCCAATATCTACAGTGCCATGCTAGTGAGCCCCACGAATTCAATGCCTACACCAAGCCAGACACCGTGGCCAGCTCAGACTCAACGGTGCGTTCAAGCAGAATGATCAAAAAATTATGTGTAAGTGTTGAACTATCCTGCCTCTGTATTTGGTGGTTTCATTTAACATTTGTCAGGATAAAGGTATTTAATAGTAATGTTGTGATAAGCACTATAAAAGATACTGAAAAATTATAAATCACTGGAAGATTTTCCAGGAAAAATTTAAGACTATATTAGGTCAGAATTGTTAATGCCATAAAAGGCCAAAAATAGTATAAAAGGGGTTGTGGAACATGGTGTACTAGGTTGAAGGAGAGACTCACTTCAAAAATAGGATAACCAAGAGCTGGATGTGATTGCATACCCCTGTATTCCTAGTGCTCAGGAGGCTGTGGCAGGAGGATTGTGGGTTTGAGGACAGCCTGGGCTATATATTGAGTTGAAGGCTAACTTGGATTGTATATTGGTTTGTCTTTTTTTTTTTTTTTTTTTTGGTTTTTCTCCGGTACCGGGAACCGAACTCACGACCTTGCGCATGCCAGGCAGGCGCTTTTGCCGCTGAGCTAAATCCCCAGCCCCCTGGATTGTATATTGGGAACTTGTCTCCAAAGAAAAGAGGATAACCTGGTGGATTGCATGGATCCACAGTGGGTTTCTAGATTGGAGATAGAAAGAATCTATAAAAGACATTTCTAGAACAATAGGGGAGCTTGGAATATGGACTGTGATGTAATCAATGTTAAGTTTCGTAAGCATGGTGATAGTGTTTGGTATGTAGAAGAATGTCCTTTAGGGATAACGTGCCTCGCCTACTATTTATTTTCAAAACCGAGAGAGGAAGAGAGAGTAACTGTAGCAAAATGTTAACAATTGGTAAAGCTATATGAAAGCTTATGGTTGTTGTACTAGTCTTTTAATTTTTCTGTAGGTTTATACTTTTTCCAAATAAAAAATTGAGAGAAAATTATTGGGGGCACTAATAAAGAGTTGCAACTTGATATTTTGGAAGTATGGATATTAGTAATTGCTGTCATCTGCAATCACAAAAATTTTATAAAATGTTACTATCTCAATTGTTTCATAATTTTTGAGACTGTTATTCAGGTATAAATGTTGAAATACATACCTTAAATTACAAGTTAATGATCTTTTTCATATACTTTATGCCCATCTAATCGCTACCCATATGAAGCCATAAAAACATTTCTATTCCTCATGCTGCTTCTTGGTGAGACCCTTCCGCCTGCTAGTATTCTGCGTGCAGACTCTTTAGATCAGTTTTGCCTGTTTCGAACTTCATCGGAAAGGAATCATGCAGTATGTACTCGAGTCAGACCTCTTTGGCTCAACGTTCTATCTATAGGATTCATCCACGTCATTGCATTCTTTTTCCATTGCCCATGCTTTTTCACTGGTGTCTAGTTCCCAGTGTATGAATACACCAAAATCTTACCTTACTCTTGATGGGCATTTGAGTAGTTTCCATTTGATGGCCATTACTAGCTTTCGAGATGTTACTAACTTCCTCCTAGGTGTCATTTGGCGGACATGAGTACCTGTTCCAGTTGAGTGCACATGTACAAGTGGAACGTCTGAGTGTGGATCTGGTTTAATGTGAATAAATACTTGCAAAACAGTTTTTCTGTTACACCAGAAACCACACTGTAACCTCAGAAAGTAAGGACAGTCTCAGAATAAAGAATTTTTAACTTTGTGGAGACTGTTGCAGTCATTATCCTCAACTGGAAACCACTAGTTTCCCTGCCTTCACATATTCTGGTGTCCTTGAGGAGTCATTGACAGTTGGTTCTGACAGTGCACTTAATGATACTTTATATTTTTATCTAAAATTTTTTATAAACACTATTTTGCTTATTTCGTTTGTGTTTTATGAGGAGAGATATGATCCTTTAACTTAGCACACGTTTTCTGAGTTAGAGGTGTTTAGATAGAGGACCATTTGAGCTAATGCGGTACACTCACTTTACTGTAAGGAAAATCATTTTTCTTAAATAGAATAGATGGCAGCTGGGCGTGGTGGTACTTGTCTGTAAACCCAGCGCTCTGGGAAGCTGTGGCAGGAGGATCTCAAGTTTGAGCTTACCCTGGGAGACATAGCAAAACTCTGTCTGAAAATAAAAAATAAAAATAAGGCTGGGGATATAGCGCAGTGTGAAGACCCCAGGTTCAATCTCTAGTACCTTTAAAAAAAAAGGTGGAGAGGGACTTGGGTGGTTTTTGACAAAGACCAACATTTCGGAGATGGTGATGCCAGGATATCCTTTTCTGCCTTTGCTTCTGAAAGTGAGCTACTTTTGTATCTGAGACTCCAGTGGAGGGCTGCTCAGAAGCAGCACAGAGCCCTTGCTGGCTCACCACCATATTCATTGGCCCACCCAAACAAGAGAAGAAAAGAAAATTAGTAAAGTCATATTGTGCTTTATTTTAGGAAAAAGCTTTCAATGATCCCATGTCAGTAAAGCAAGAGTTAATTTTCAAGATGAAACAGAAAAAATTAAAATGAATTCTACAGGCAAAAGACCTCTCATTCCCTCTTTGTCCTTCTGCAAGTAGAAGTATGTCATCAGCCTGCGTCGGGATTTAGAACGATAATGTGAGGCCCACACAGCCTTCATCGTGTTTCCTTTAAAGTTAGTGACACCAGGGGGTTGAAGAATCAAACATTTATGCAAAGCTTATTGAGGAAAAGAAACCTTTGCCTTCCTTCTCCTTCTCCTTTTTTCTCTAAGAACAGCTTTTTAAATTCTAAATATTTCGATAACATGTTTATATCTGGGTTTTGGTTGTATACAGACATCGGCTCTTGGCTTCCCGCTTGGAAGTTTTCCAATCTCTTTCGCTGCCCTCCCTCCCAATACAATTCAGCTGTGATAGGGGGTGGATCATTATTCAGGTTTTTCATTCCTAGGACTATATGCATATTTGAGCCTTCTCTTATATTATGTTGATGGTTATCTATAAACTTTCGTGTCACTAGAGACACTTTTGTATTTGCTTTGTTTTTTGTGTCTTATAGGTAATCCAACTCATGGCTTTTCACCCTGTGTTTACCTCTTCCCTGCATGTATTTAGTTGCTTTGTGTGTTCTCTAAGTTTTATTTTCTCAAAGAAATCTCTGTTGGAGTCCTCTGACCTGCTCTAGTGGGCTGCTGCTGTCCTTTTCGTCACCTGTCACCCTCAGGATTCCCTTAGCTGTCTGCTGTGTTGAAATCCTTTTTATTGTATTCATATAAGTTTTTCTTGATTTATTCCCTTATGGTAAAGCCCATTCTTCTATAGATTCCCCCACTCAAAAAGAAATGGTAGAAGTTTGTGGGGAGATGCATTTCTGAGAAGGTTTTTCTTGATGTCTTGCCTGGGCAGAGAGTTTTATACTTGAATTTTTTTCCTTTATTATTTCTGTATTTCTTCATTGTCTTTTAGCTTCTGGGGCGGTGTTGCGAACCTATGGCTTATGTGTCTCAGCAGCTATTTGTTATCATTGAAAGTTCTAAAAGGTTTGCCGTCACTTTTCCAGAGTTATTAAGAGCCTGAAGCCATTTTGGTACTGGGTTCTTGTTAATTTAACTATTTGGAAACCTGTCAGGTCTTTTTATTTAAACTTAAAAAAAAAATTTTTTTCTGATAGACATCTGTTAAGACTTTTAAAACTGGAAATTTACATTCTTATTTTCCAAAAATTTTGGGTTGTGATTGTGTGTGTGTGTGTGTGTGTGTGTGTGTGTGGATTGAACCTAGGGCCTTCACACTGAGCTATATCCCCAACCTTTTTATTTTATTTATTTATTTTTTGAGGCAGGATCTTCTAAGTCACCAAGTCTCCTAGGCTGGGCTTGAACTTGCCATCTTTCTGCCTCAGCCATCCAGAGCACTGGCTTGCAGGTGTGTGCCAGCATGCCTGGTATGATTTAGTTTTCTTTCTTTCAGAAACTTTTTCATTTTGGTACTGATCTTCATAGATTGTCATTTCATTTTCTTACCTTTTCTCTGATATTTTTCCATTTCTTTCTTTTGGTTTTTAGGTAGTTTCTTCAACTTCATCTTATAACCCTACTGTAGAAGTCTCCATTTCTGCTCTCGTATCTTTTTCAGTTTGGTTTATTGAGGTGTTACTTAATTTACCTTTCTTCTATATAGGTCTGTCTTTTCTGTGATGTGTGATACATACAGTTTAACAGGTTAAAGCACATATTTTTGCACAGTCTGTGGGTCAGGAGTCCAGGTGTACCTCAGTTAGATCTGCTCTGGGGCTGATAAAACTTCGAATCAGGTGTCAGCCCATTCTGGGATCTTCTTCAGGTCTCTCTTCTTGGCAAAATAAATTTCCTTGCAGCTGTGGGACTGAAAGTCTTAGCTTATAGCTAAGCTAAAACTGCCTCTCTTTAAGCAGTTCAAAATGTGGTTTTTACTTTAAGCCTAGCAGAAAAGTCTTTTTTTCTGACTTCTGTCTCTAACCTCTAGACAGACAAACACACCCAAACAAACCTCACCTGGTTAGACCCCTTGTACAATCTCTTTATTGATCAATTTAAAAGGCAAAAGATTATACGATCTGAAGAGAAACCAGAGTATATATTGATTAAATTCAACTGATTGGAGATATTTGCTACATATGTAAAATCCCTTATCCCTTGCCATATTAGCCAGAGTATCATATCAAAGAGTTTTTGTTCTTGGCTTACATTAAGAAGGAGACATTTAGCCAGGCGTGGTAGTGAACACCTGTATCCCAGCAATGGGGCGGCTGAGGTAGGAGAATTGAATGTTCAAACCCACCCTGAGCAATTTAGTGAGATTCTATCTCAAAATTTAAAAAAGAAAGAAAGAGTGCTAGGGATGGAGCCCAGTGCAAAGGCTCTGAGTTCAATCCCTAGTCCTGTCAAAAAGAGACATTTAGAAGTTGTAGTTGCATTATTGTATGTGTGACTGAAATACAATCTGGTGGGACCATTCCCTCATGCCTCCTTTAATGATACTGACTTTTGATCCCTCTTTTGGGCTGGTAAATTCCTCCAAGGAAGATC